TTTCCACCATTAGAATTTGCTAAACAAATTACTTTATTTACCTCTGAACTTTTTAGAAAAATTAAACTTGTAGAGTTCTTTAAGTCAACTTCAAATACAACAAAGAATGAATGTTTTAATATTATAGAAATGACTAATTTTTATAATGCTTTTCAAAATTGTTTAACTGAATTAATATTAGGACAAAATGACCTACAAAAACGTTCATTAATTGTGGAACGATTAGACCTTATTGCATATTATTGTCTTCAACTTAATAATTTCTTTATTGTTGTTTGTATTGTAACTTTATTTGAAACTTCAGCTTTACATCGATTAAAACGAACATTTAAAGCAGTAAGTAATGATATTCAAGAGAAATTTGAAACAGTAAGAAAAGTAGCTAATATGGAAGGAAATTGGAAAAGTTTAAGAGTTGCTGAAGATAATTGTACAGCAGCAATGGTACCCTTTTTAGGATTAATATTGAGTGATTTATTATTTACTAATGATGGTAATAAAACAATTACATCTGATTCTACAATTAATTTTGCTAAATGTAGAAAACTTAGTGATATTGTTGTTACAATCAATAGAATTCAACAACTTTCATATGGAAGTAAAATATTAAAATCTGAAGAATATCAAACATATATTATTGATAAAATACAACATGGAGAATTTGTTGAAAAAAAGCCTGGAAGTGATTCTTTTCAATATAATATTTCTAAACAACTTGAAGTATCTGATTGTGTTACACAAGAAGTATTTACACAAGAAGAAATCCCAGATGGACATTTGTCTATATCAGTAGTATTACCTAATCAAATTAAAATAAGAAGATTCTTACCATTAAAAGAACGTTTAACATTAGGAAGAATTTTAAATGATATTAATGGTAAAGAGTTTAATTATCAAAATAAAAAAATATTTTTCTTCTTCTTTGAAAATCAACCTAATTACTGTTATCCTCCTAATAAAATTATTGACGAAGTATTTTTTGAACATACATTTAAAACAATTAGTTTTGCTACTGTATTAAGTGAAGTAAAATATGTTAATTGTATTTTTGAATATAATGGGTCATTAGCTAATTGTCAAATACCAATAGATAATACTGTTCCTTTAATTCAACAATATCCAATATTTCATACATATATTTTAAATTCATTCCCATTTATTCCTTTAAAAATTTCTCATGACTTTACTGTTGAAGGATTTTTATCTATTCAATATAGTCTTCAAGAATATAATTGGAAAAGAGATGATATGTTATATCTTATTAATATATCTTCTCTTTCATTATATTTTAGTAACTTAGACATTGATGAAATTAGATTTAATTCTTTTTGGAATTATAAAAAATTTGAAATAAAAATGTGTGATGGAACTGGTCATACATTACCAGAACAATGCACTTTAATGGTCGTTGACCAATTCATATTATTATATAAAGAAAAAGTGTTTCAATGTTGTTTTCCATTAGACTTTGTAAAAGTATTAATGTTTATACAGCAGCCAAGAGTATTATTACGTATTAAATATGAATATCCATTTGAAATGATAGAAAAAGGAATTTCTAATGAAGGAGGAATGTCAACACCATTTACAAATAATGAACTTTTGTTTGATGCAGACAAAGAAGTTATTCAACAATTAATATTCCATCTTCATATCAACCATGTTAAATTTAATAAATATCAATTATTTGGAATTAGTCCAGAATTTGTAATTCAAAATTCATCATATCATTCACCAAAAGTACTAATAGAAATTATTAAAGCAATGTATTTTAAAAATGATTTTTTTGAAGATCATTTCTTTGAAAATATGTCCTTGGAAGATGCAATGATTCAATCTGAAAAGATAGAAAGTGGAGTTTTTATTCGTTATGACACTTTACCTTCTCCTACATTAGTTGGTATTTTTTATATGTATTTTTATACTTTAAATATCCCATTATTACCTATTAATGATTTAGAATTAATTAATAACTTCACTCAATTAGGAATTAAAGAACAACAAGACCTTTTATTTAAATTATATTCAAATATCTCATCTTCTTTACGTGGATTGGTGAAAGTTATTTTAGAATTATTTAGTCAATGGCTATTACCAAATCCATCAAAAATTGATCATATACTTTCTTATTCACAATTTCTATTCCTTGAGTTGGTTGATGAATCTGTTGCAAAAGAAATATTTAAACTGTTAATTCTAAAATTCCCTACACTACCTCCAATTGAAATCCCATCAGTTACTTTTATTGAAATGATTAGAAATTATTCATTAACTCCTATTATGGATGAAGAAGTGAGAATTAAACATATTGAAGATATTAAACAAGCAGTAAATGAACCTAATGCAGTAAATAAATTATTAAATCATAAAAATTCTCATTTAGATCTTGTGAAGAACCCAACAAAATGTCCATTTAAGAAGATTAATACAATGACTTTAAAACATTCAAAAGGAAGTAGATTAAAAATTGGTAAGAATAGAAATGGTTCAATTATTTCAGATGAATTATTGTGTGCTGCTGTTGTTGAAGGAGATGAAGAAATTGATGAAAAAGAAGAGGAAATTGTTAAAACACATAAATCAGCAATAGGACGATTTAAATTAACAGAGGTTAATAGTTCTAATGATCCACAACTAATAGACAGAAATGACTCATTTGAAAGAAAAACTGAAAGAAGTTCATCACTCTCTCCACGTGTAAGAAACAAATTTATAGAATCAGAAGATAAAGTTATTTTAACTAATGAAGTTAATAAATCTTTTACTCCAGGAAGTTCTAACAATAGTCCTAGTTCTGAAAGAAGTGGATGGGAAAAAGGAGAAGAAACATTCCATTGTTGTTCACCAAGAAAATGTGATTTTATGAGAAAAGGTAGTGAAAGAAGAGAAGAAATCATAAGAAAAATGAAAGAAGAAAGAGAAAACAAAGAGGGGTCTAAGGAAAGTCCACATTCTAGTTCACCTTCAACTGAACTATCACCATGTGCTACTCCATGTGAAAAACCACAATCACCAATATTTATAAATGTAAACATAGTACCTAGTGATAGAAAATCTCCTGGTCCTCAACTGGATTCTATTTGTTCAAATACAACACCTATTTTGGTTAGTAACACTACTTCTAGACCTAGACCACCCCTCCCAAAAAGAAATATCTCTAAGTCACCATTGTCTACCTCTGCTTCTGTTGTCTCTACACAAAGACTTCAACCACAACAAGGTACTTCAAGACCACTTCCAAAACTTCCTGTTGTTAAATCTAATATTTCATCTTCTCATGAAAAGCCTGAAGAAAGCATTGGACTAAATGATAGTATAACAAACCAATTTGTTCCTCGATCAAATGCCTCCCAAAGAGAGTCATTAATTCGTCCATCCACAGTGAATAAAAATAATCCATTTGACTTATCTCACTCTAAAACATTTGAAGATAATTAAATCAATACCATTATTATTTTTATTAATTATTTTTCCTTTACTTTAATAAAATGAAACTACAAAAATAATATCTTAAATTTATAAAATTTCTAACTACTCTTATGGACACAACACATTTAGATGATATTATTTCAAGACTAATGAACGTTATTAATTCATTTCCAGAAAATATTATTGTGACAAAAGATGAAATTATGCAACTTTGCGATGTATTCCAAGAAGAAGTAAGTAAAGATGAAACACTAATGGAATTAAAAGCACCAATTAATATAATTGGAGATTTACATGGACAATTTACTGATTTAATTCGATTCTTAAAAGCAGTAAATTATACTGAAGAAAAATTCTTATTTCTTGGAGACTTTGTTGATAGAGGGTGTCACAGTATAGAAGTGCTATGCCTTGTTTATGCACTAAAAGCACGTTATCCCCAACAATTTTTTATTATTAGAGGAAATCATGAATGTGAAGAAATTAACCGAGTTTTTGGGTTTTATGATGAATGTTTGTTGTTTATATTAACATTTAGATATAAAGACATTAAAAGGTAGGTATTCGTAGATATGATGAAAGTGTTTGGAAACGATTTAATGCTACTTTTGCTTATTTACCAATTTTGGCATTAATAAATAAAAAAATATTATGTGTTCATGGCGGTATTTCACCTGACTTAAAATTATTGAGTCAAATACAAACAATTTCCAGACCTCTACAAATACCATGTGGAGGCATGGTTTGTGATTTATTGTGGTCAGACCCTGGGTCAATGTTTGGATGGAAACCAAACACTGTTAGGGGAATGTCTCATTACTATGGAGAAGATGTTTGTATTGAATTTATGGAACGAAATGAATTAGAATTAATTTGTCGAGGACATGAAGTAGTTGATGGGTATCAATTTAAGTTTAATCAAAAATTAGTCACGTTATTTAGTTCCCCAGTTTATTGTAATGCATTAAATAATTCAGGAGCAATGATGGTTGTTGCAGATGATCTTACTTGTTCATTTGTAATTCTAAAAGTTGATAAATAAACATTGAATGGATTGTTTCTGTTTTCTTTCTGTTTTTGTTTTTTTTTTGAATTGTATAAAAGTTTATTGAATTATTGAATTGAGGTAAGTGTAGACTTAAGTACGGGATAATCTTTTGTGTTTAGTCTATATTTTATAACACTAAACATTCATTTAAACCATATATTAAATCAAAAGTGACTTAATTTGAACATATATATTAGAATCAATTACAATCTACTTAATAAAAATAAACTTGTATTATTAGCCATGAAAATTAGACAATATATTAAGCCTTAAAATACAACAATGCTTTTTGAAAAAGTATTATTTATCATTTTATTATAGGTATTTATTTTTTAAGTTATGACTAAGTCTTTCTACCTTTTTTATTTCAGTTTCTTTCAGTGACTTTTAATATACAAACTTCTTTTGTTATTGCTTGTTTATTTCATAACCTAATTATTCTTCTTATACCAATTGAATAAAAAATAACTAAGAATCATATCATTCAGATAATTACTTAATTATTCTAAGTTAATCAATCTAATTAAAGTCTGCATACAGCAGGTATTGGCTTATTCTTCTTTACAGCAAAAGCTCTCTTGAATGTTTCTGTGCTATCTGAAACATAGAATTTTTCACCATTTTTTGGATAATGAATTAGAATCTTATCATTTACAATTACAACTTGTTCCATAAAGTTATTAGTTACCTCTGGATTACAGTCATTTGTCAAGAAGACTTTTTCAGAATATGCAGTAATATGCTCCATACTTGTTTGAGCTGGATGAGAGTATCTATTATTTTGTCCACATGAAATAACAGCAACTGTTGGTTGAAGAGATTGAAGATAATCTAGATTATTTGAATGTTCAGAACCATGATGGTTAACGTGATAAACATCAACTATCCCAATCACATCTTTGTATGGAGTTTCTATGTCATGATAAATATTACTATCACGAAAATAATACCCGTCTAAATCACCTGCAGTTGAATAAACAAAATCACCATATTTAATACGTAAAGCAATTGAATAATCATTTTCACTTGGTTTTCTAGTAGAGTTATGAAAATCTTGAGATATTGGCTTTCCATCTTCTAAGACGCCTAACCCATCAGAAACAATAATTTGTACTAATGCATCTTTGTCTGGAGGATTAATTTGATTACTACATGGTTTCGCAACTTCTCTTATTTTCATTATTTGAGTCTTTAATTGAGTATTAGAAGCATAACAAACCCATTTAATTGCTGTATCACCATATGATCCAATGACATGCCAGTTAATATCTTCAACATCATCACAAATAGCAAGACTATTTTTAATTATTCCAGAGTCTCTATCTATAAATTTATCAAAAATAATTCCACTTTTTTCTAATAGATACCAAAATCCATTCTTAAAAGCAGTACCAATATGGTCATCATGAAGATGAGTTGCTACTCCAACATTTATATGATAACTTCCAAGAATTTCAAAAATCCAATCAGCAATTTTTTTACAATTCATTGATGAAGGAGCAGTTTCACCAGCATCAATAAGAATAGAATAACCAGAAGGGAAAACAATTAATTGTGAATCTGCTTGTCCAACATTAAATATATGAATATCAATCCCAGAAGTAGCAATACCATGATGGATATAGAAACAGATTATAATAAAGTACATTTGAATGATTAATCAAGTGAACTTTTAAGAGACTTAAATATAACTAATTTCTTGAAGAAAATCTATAATTATTATTTTAATCAAAAAGAATAAACGGAATAAATTTAAAAGAATAGAAATATTTCTATAAGAAATTTCTAACCTCAATTTTAAAAATAAAACAAATGAAATGAGAAGAAGTAAATAAAGAACTTTGATTAATTTTAATACTTAATTCTATTTATTCTGCCCATTGTTTTACAGTCCAAACATTAATACCAATTTCTTTTGACATAGTTAGAGACACAATAACAGCAAATAATGCTTCTTGTCCAATAGAAATTAATAACATAATAAATGTAATTAAATCTTTTTGAACATTACAAACCATTAAAAAGACATAAAAGGCATAAATAATATTGATATAATAATATGAATCAACTTCTTCTTTACAAATTCTATTTAAAATAATTCTTTGAGTTATAAATGCATTAAGAAGAATAGTAATTGCAACAATAGAATGGAAATTATTTCTAATAAATACTTCATCCGTTAATAAGAATAAAACACCTGTTAATAAAAAGAATTGCATAAAAGGGAATAATCTCTTTAAAGAATCTTTAAAAGAACATTTTTTAGTATCTTTAATAAAAGCATATACATTATATGAATACATAGCTAATGCTCCAAATGCTCCAAAAATTACACAAAAAGCAATAGTAGTATTTACTTGGAATCCAAAAATTGAAATAGTAATAATATCTGAATATACTGTTTCTCCTAATAACATTCCAATAACCATTAATTGTAATTCAGTAGGATTTAATAATGGACCAAGAATTAAAACACCAGTATGATATTCCTCCCAATGAGAAAGGAAAAATATTAAATATAACATTAATAAGACTGATAATGTTAATAAAGTGGTTGTTTTTAATGCTAAAACAACAACAAGAGCAAATATTCCAATCATTAATGAGTCATTTCCATGATCAAATAACTCTCCTAATGGTGTTGCATTTTTTGTTCTTCTTGCTTGTCTTCCATCAACATTATCAGCTATTTGATAAATAAAAATACAAATAATTGTTAAGAGATATATTATTGGATGAATTGGTTCTGTTCCTGTTGGAACAGTAATAGCCAATATTATCCATGCAACTGTCATTGAAATAAATCCAATTGTTGTTAAAATATTTGGTGCTAACCATCGTGGTATAACGTTCTTTAATAATGGTTCCCAAATGAGTGGAGCTAATATATGATTTGCACAAAATGAATGATCTTCACCTTTGAAAGAGTAATTATGAAGAGATTGTAAACCTTCTTTTGAAATAAACATCTTTAAATTTTACATTTTAAGTTCTTTTTAACTAATTAAAGAAATATCAGGGTTTTTAACAAAAATAACAGAAAAGAAAACGAAATAACAAAACTAAAAAAATTGTTTGAAAAGAAGAAAAAAAAGTCAAAATAGATCTTTAAAATCTAAGATAGTTTAATGAGTATAACAGGAGGATGTATTGAAGATATTATTAAAACTGGAAGTAATTGTGGAGATGTTAATGTACAAATTAAAGAAATAAAAAGTGAAGTTGAAATTGTTATTAGTGATGGTGAATATTTTTCACGTGCTAAATTTCCAAAAAATAATCAAGCACATCAATATCAAAAAGTGTGTATTAGGAGCTGTGTTTATATTGCTGAAAAGAAATACATTGACGTAAAAGATTTTGAGTGTTTGTTTTATTAAGTTAATGATTACTTAATGATTTATGAAATAATTTATTAGGTGAAGAAATTTTTGATGAATTAATAGGAAGTCCAATTGATGTCAACCAATATTTGGGAATAGAAAATAGTCATTTACCTATTAGCCAAAATTCTCAAAATACTTTACCAACTGCTCAACGTCATAGTATTACAAATGAATTAGAAAAAGAAGAAGATGATGATGATAAACAACAAATAAATGAAGATGAAAGTATTTTATTTAATTTATTAAAAGAGCAAGATTCAATGAAATGTTGCATTAAAGGATATGTAGTACATAAATCAAGAATTAATGAATTTGGAAATGAAGAAGGTAAAATTTTTTCAGTTATTCTTCAAGATAATGAAGGAAGTGAATTTAAAGTATCATTTTTCAATGCAATGGTTGATAAATTTTATTCATCAATTATTGAAGAACAAACTATTGTTATGAATAAAATAAGAATTAAAAAAATGAATGAAACCTCAGAAAAAATTAAAACAAGAATGATGAACAATCTTGAAGGGATTGTCACCAGTGCTACTTCAATTGCACTTGCAAAAATACCAATTCCATCACTTATTACTACAATTGATACTATTCATGATATTATTAACACAAATTATTTATCAAGTGATTTTTATTTTATTGGATGTGTATTAGAAAAAGGAGATATTAATAATATTACATTAAATAATACAAATAAAGATAAAACTGATATTATTATTGGTGATGAAAGTCAATATTCTATTAATATTCAAATATTTTCAAATACTCTTGTATCGCTAGTAAATGAAAAGATTAATACTAACAGTATTGTTCTTATATCAAAATGTAAAATCATTAAAACAAAAAATGGAGATAATTATTTTGGTGAATTAAAAAAAGGAAGTCAAATAATTATTATTAATAAATATTCAGATATTCCAAATTATGTTCAATTATTATATTCACAACAACGTTATGAATCTCTTCTTAATATTAAAAAAGATAGTGCACATATTTTATTTAATGAACTTTCAAAAAAATTGAGAAAATCAAATGAAGTTATTGGAATTAAAGGATTAAAAGAATATTGTGATGAAGTTAAAATGAGAGATAATAATCATCCTTCAACCTTTATTATTAAAGCTCGTATCAAAATAATTAAAACAAATGATTTAACATATTATGGATGTGAAACATGTAGAAGTAAGAAAGAAGAAGGATATTCATATTGTAATAAATGTAATAGAAAAAGAAATGGAAAATTATATTATAAAGTAAATGTTTTACTCGAAAATAATGAAGAAGAAGAGTCATTTGAACAATGGGCTATCATATTTGATGAATGTGCTAGAAAACTATTTAATATGAGTGCTGATGAGATGAATGTTTTAGATGAAGACGATGTTAAAAAAGAAATGAACAAATTCATTGGTAAAGAATTTATTCTTAAAGTAAAAGGTAAAATAAATCCTATGAAACATGATGAAGTATTTACTGTTATTGATGAAATGAAAATATTTTAATTAAATTTTTTATTATTCATTAATATAAAATTTCATTTTGAATGTGCAACAATACTTTTATACGTTTGCCATTTTACCTCAGGATCATTTAAAACATCACCATAAATACCAGCCTTATATCGAGCACAATGAGTAACAAATGTTTTAACATCCCAATTTTCTTCAGTACATACTTCTGGTAAATATGTTCCATTTAATTTCCCTTTACTTACAATAATTCCATGTATTCCTGGAATTACTGCTTTTAAAGGATCTTTAACATAAATTGGTTCTGTTAACATACTAACAGCAATATCAACTTGTTCAAATTCACTTAATGTCATTGGATCAAATCGGTCGTCATGGAGGGCATATTTACAATATTTCTTCACAATTTGGTAAAAAGGACCATGAGGTGAAAAACATCCAATACATCCTCTAAGATCACCATGTAATGTATAAGTAACAAAACACCCACCACAACTACAGTCAAGTCCTAATTTTTCTGCTTCCTCTTTATATTCTCCAGTTCTTTCTCCTTCTATTTCATTTCTACCACATTCTCTTACTAACTTAATGAGGAATTGTTCTTGTTCTTTTGTGAATGCTTCCATTTTAAAAAAAATGTCAATATTTTTTTAAGATTTAATAAATAAAAAAATGAAGAATATTAGTTTGATTTATTATGAAAGTTGAACTTTTTAATAAAGTTTATTAGATCAAACAATAAACATACAAAAAATGTACATGAAAGTATATTATAATCACTATTTTTTTTTGTTGTTGAATATTAAGTGATTTTTTTTTGAATTGATTAATATGAGCGTGAAAGTAAACGGGAAGATGAAGAGAATGAAGAAGGGCTTCTTGGAGTTTTAGACCCTGAAGATGATTTAATTTGACGAAGATAATAAACCTTTTCTTCAGAATAATTAGCATTATCCATAGCAATATGGACACCTTCAATAAGACAAGGAAAAGTTTTTAAAACATTTAAAAAGCCATTTTCAATGACATAAATTTCATTGTATATTAAATAAGGATTTAAAGAATTTTTGTCAATTGAATGTAGCTTTTTAGCTAATGAAGGACCTCTTTCTCCAGAATACTCACAATAAAATATGAGAATAGAAGAAGACTGAGGCATATCCTTTGCAACAGGAAAATGCTCATTTAATAATTGTTCATTCCAAATGTTAATTGCTCCATGAATTCTACCACCAGCAAATTCATATGGAAATCGACAATCAATTAATTGAATATTAGAGTGATGTTCAATAGCTCCCCAAAGAACTAACGGTGTTATTGCATTAACACCAAACATAGTTCGTTCTGAAGGTAATAACATATTATAATTTATTACATTTTCTTCTACAGATTCAGGTGAATTAGAAAAAAAAAGAAATTCTGCTAATGTTTGTCTTCTATTTACCCTTCTCCTAAAGCTAATATTTAAATCTGGTGTTTTACTTATTCTAGGTGATGGTGAATCTGATACAACAAGTTCAGAAGTGGAATTTCTATTCTGATTATTGATTATGTCAGAAAGAGATCCAACTGAATTTGTCATAGCAATAGAATTAAATGTATTTCTTGTTGCTTTCATAATGAAGCAATCCTAGAGATTTTTGAGATGTTAATATGGCTCTCACTGATTCTTTTCTTGTAAGCTAAACATATTTTTCGCTTTCATTTGTATTGGTTCTTTAAAAAACAACCAATGAATAATGTTTCAATTTTATTTATTTTCATGTCAGAAACCTACTTTTTTCTCTATATTCTAATTAAATAAAAAAGGTTGCTTTTTCATGAAAATCCTATGTTATTAAGAAAATCCAAATGTTTAAAGTCATAAAGAACAAATACCTTAAAAAACAGCCTTTTTTGCTAACTCATTTAGACAAGCCATTTCTCTATATATAGCAAATATGAAACTAAATAAAATTGATTGGCTTATTTTTATGTGAAATAGTTATTCAAAACAAAGTAGAAAAAAAGATCAATTACTACATATACTAAATAATTCAATTTTAACAACAATAAAAGGAGTTATTTCATTTTGTTTAATTATTATTAACGTTTATTTTGTAATTTAATTCATTTGTTTGATTATTATAAAGTAAAATATTCTAATAGGGTATTAATCTTTATTTTATTAAACATTAATTCTTTCATTTGTTTATTAACTTCTCTTCTTTGTTTCTTATAAAGTTATATAATAACTTCAAAAATTGTAATGAGCTTGTTGATTGTTTATCTTTCTAAACCAATTCACTGATAAGAGACTATTTTACTTATTTCTATGAAACATCACTTCTTTTATTTTGGAGACTTTCTCTTCAAAATATTTTGTATTGTTATATTTTATAAAATACGTTAATTCCATATTTCTCTATTGACATATGGCGACATCAATAACAAATCATTTCTTAAATCATTTTTTTTTTAATTTTTTTGTGTCATCTAATCTCTAATGAAAATATTAAAAATCCTTTAATTGTTTTATTGAATTTTTGAAACATTTCCTTTCTTTAATAGTTTTTTTCAAATAATTAATTATATAAACCTAAATAGGTTTATAGCCATTTTTATTTATTTTGTTATTGTTCATTCCTTTGTTTATTTTTACTATAACATTGATCGAAAGACTGAATGTGGCACATCTGAAATAACACCACACACAAACACTAATACATTTCATATTTTGACTCTCCATGTTATTATCTGGTTATGATGGTATATTTGAATATGAAATATTTTTGTTAATGTCGTAAAGGGTGCGACAATTTATTATGTTGAATATTACATGTTGTAATATAAGACTTTGCACTTATTAAAAAAGAAATTATAAATATATGGAGGTATTAAGCAAGGAAAAGGATTTGTAATAGTGTGGTTAAGACTAAAAGAAAATTAGTCAA